TTATTGACTTTGCCACACCCAAACACACACACACATGGTGAAACAACAACAACAACAACAGCATCTCTGGTCTGTCGCCGTTCATGGGCGAGAACGACATTGAAACAATGTCAAATGTAACCATTGCAAAATACGATTTCGAGGATGAATGCTTTAATGGCATATCCCCGGAGTGCCTGGATTTCATAGCGAAGCTCCTTGTTAAGGACTTGAGGTGCGTTTTCTTAATTAGTGTCTAGCCATAACCGGGCCATCAGCCCTCCCGCTGAGCCTTAGCAGCTCTTTTAATCAACCAAATGCCCCACAGCACCCGCATGACAGCCGCCGATTGTGTGAAGCACAAATGGTTGCAACAACATCCCGCTGCCACGCCCACAAAACAAGCAATAGCAGCTGGAACAGCAAAAGTAACCAAGAGCGCCACAGTGAGCAGCAAGACGCGCCTGAAGTCAGAGTCGCCCACACCGCTAGCCTCGGAGTCTTCGGAGGATTCAACGGAAACAATTGGTGATGCGGATGATGATGAGGACGAGGCGACGGAGCAGGACGACGAGAGCGAAGAGCTGGCGAAGCTGTGCAACACACATGAGCTAGAGGTAAGCAGAAGCTAGCAAAATAGACCAACAGCTATTATAAAATTCTATGCTGCCCGACTCCCAATAGAACAAAGAGCTAGATGCCACGAAGGATAATTTAAAGAATTTCATAGTGCGCTGGGAGACGCATCCGAATAGCCCGTACGTCTTTGACGTCGAGGGCAATGTGATAGCGCCATTAAATGAGACCAGTTACACGCATCCGCGACGACCCCATGGCCAGGACAGCATCTCCTCATCCCGAGGTGAGTACTGCCGCAACGGTGGCTCCCAGCGGCAGCGCGACCGGCATGCGCTCATCCATGGCAAATGAGCGGGGGCGACGCAAATCACAACCAATTTGTAAATTACATAATTAACTTAAAAAACCAACAAACAAACAAACAAGAAACGACCAACTAATTGTTGTTCTCTCTTAACTTGAATGTACACCAAGTTAGCTCAATGAGAAGCGCGAAGAAGGGTACGCTTCAGTGCGCTCTTTAACTCTCACGCGCTCTCTCATTCTTTCTCTTCATATATATTATATTTTTCAATCTATTAATGTTTTGTGTTAACATAAGCTTTAAATGAGCTATTGTAATTATGTTGTGTGTGGGAGAAAGAAGGCATGTCAGCAACAACAACAACAACAAATTTTGAGTATTTACATAAACGTTGTTGGTTTATATTTTAAGTAACCGTAGCTTTAAGCGCATCCTTGTAGCGGATGCCACCTCTATTAACCAAATTGCCTATTTATATAAGTTGCTTAGCGTTTCGACACTGTGATAAAGACAGCCAATGACAAGAGTAATACCAAAATATACCTACTTCAAATTCAAATACTACAAACCTTCTTTCAAATACATTAGTCACAACTCTATCCAAACGTAAACATTCCAAGATAAACAAATATAAAACAAAATAAGACATTATCCTAACCTAGTTCAAGTTTAGCTCAACACCTAGCCACAGTTTCAAAACTACCGGACAAGGTAAGCTCCATTATCGATAAAATAAGGAAAAAATATATCGATCAAAACTGCAGCCAAATTCTAAAGTTTGTCGAAGTTTCATTTCATCTCAACGGATGTCGTTCATAAAACATGAAGCTTATTTATGTTGTGATCCATTACGAATGAGAAATTATAAAAAAATCTTCAAAAAATTTAAAATTTTTTATTTAATTTTTTTTCATTTTCTGAACGACTAGTTCAAATTCGAATACTATTCACTTTTTGTGTTTCTTTACTTTTCTAAATATGTTGGTAAAGTTTAATAAAAAATTATAGAAGAATTTTTAGCACAATGTAGTATTATTATTTTTATAAATTTTTTAATTAAATAACAACCGCAGTCATTACAAATTGTTGTTAACCTACTGACCAAAAGTAATTAAAAATAAATGATAGTATGATAATAATGATAAATAATTAAATTACATTTATAATTTTGGTTAATTTAATGTAATTTAATTGTGCATAATATTTACTTAATTAAATTACTTTTTCAATTACTTTAATAAATTAAGGTATGATAATGACAAAGATTTAAATTACATTTTTAACTTGTTAATAATATTATGCATAATATTTACTAAATTCTCATATGAATATGACAAATAATTAAATTACATTTGTAATTTTGGTTAATAAAATGTAATTTAATTGTACATAACTTACTTTTTCAACTAGTTAAGTATACAAATATTTAATTGCCAATTTTTAAGGGTAACTACCAATTAACAAACCAATTTTTCAACTGAAATTTCTAACCAATTATATTTAAAAACTTTAAGAATTTCCTTACAATTATTAAAAATCATAAAAGGCAAAGAACCGCAATAAATATAGTTTAAATGTTATTGAAATCACAAAAGAAAATCTTGAAAATTGTTTATTTCGGAGATTGAATAATTTCTTAATACTTAGGACTCAAAGCATAAAAAATAGCTCATTTTCACATTAAGTATGTTTTTTTGTGCACGGTATGATGTCTGTCAGGGCTAGCTGTTACGATCCATTACTAACTTCTCTGTTGGCGATAATCAACTGGGCTGTCCGTCTCATAAGCATGCTCTAATCTTGTGTATATATGTGCCTCTATGTTTCCGATACCACTTTGATAATTACAATTAAAACCTAACCCCTCCCAGAAAGAAACCTAATCTGTATGTATGCTCCATTGTGAACTGCTCCATGGAACTGAAATCTTTTCCCGTGCCTTTGCAGTGTGCTCGCCCTCGCCGTGTGAATCGATAGCAACGCTGACGGACGATGAGCAGGAGTATGAGAGGCAGGCGGCGGCGGCATTTGAGGAGGAGCGACGCAGCGCTGACAGTCCCCATTCGGTGGCCACCACGCCCATCAATGAATCCCGCGAGAAGTTGTTCCCGGCGACGGCCAGTGCTTCGGGCTGTGCCACTCCCACGCCGCAGCATCTGTTCAACGAGAACTTCGATGAGTTCTCCGGCAGCGAAAGCAGCGCCCAGCAGCAGCGCAGCATGAAAAGCTATTTGCACACATTCGATCGTCGCAACTCGGACACGACCTATCTGCTGGGACGGCGCAGCTCCGGGGAGCGCGTCAATCTGGCGGATGAGATACGCAAGCTATCCGATCATCTGCTAATGCTTGCCGAGATCAATACCAAGCTGGGCGATAGCAACAATAATGCGGCCTCGGAGAGCAGCTTCACGCAGGAGGGCAACAAGTGGATAAGCAGCACGCGCAACAGCGCCAGCGCCAGCCGAGCAACGCCGCGTGGCCAGCTGCACAGCGCCAGCAGCAGCAGCAGCCAGCAGACTCAAACGCGCTCCAAAGATGGCCACCAGAAGACTAGCTCCCTGTCCGTGCGCCTGCAGCAGTCCATTGAGGAGACGCCCAAGCTCACCAATGGCAAGAGCGACAGCAGCTGGTCCAAGTCGCAGCTGCGCAGCCAGTCCTCAGTGAGCACCATGAGCACGGCCAATACGAAGAGCCATGTGCAAAGAACAAGCACAAGCAGCTCCAAGTTCAGCTCCAACATCAGCAGCAGCAGCAGCAGCAACCATGACTTCTCGGAGTCGGCGAGCAGTCGACGCGCCAAGTTCCGCATCAATCAGATGAGTCGCGATGTGCCCGTTGGCCTGCCGGACACGCATCAAACGGTTAATCTGGAGGAGGCGGCCAATACGACAAAGGATTGCCTGCTGCATCTTCTAGAGAAATACAATGAGACAAAGATACGCAATCCCGTGGGCAGACATCAGAGCATCAGCGTCGATTGGCATATCAGCGATAATCTCGAATACCGCTCCATGAGCTCCATCAATGCCTTCTTCCAGCGTCACGGCCACAGCAGCGGCGGCCAGAATGTCCGGCACATACAGGCTCAGCTGGAGGAGAAGGCAACGGGGAAATAGTGTCCATCCAGTACCATCCGAATACTGTATATAATTTTTCATTACTAATTCATGTACTATACATACTACAAGCAGGAAAGAACTAAAAAAAAAACAAAATCGAACTAAAAATCAAACTTAGTTAATCGCAGTTACAATTTAGTCAATTTCTATGTTTGCAAATGAATCAAATTATTTATGTATTTGTCGTAAGTAAAAAATGATATTAATTTATTGAAAATAAAAAATTAAATGGAAAACCAAAAAATAACAGAAAGAGCCCGAATTTAAATGTGGATTAAAGAAAATATTTTGAATAGAAAATATCCTAAATAATTTATTTCCATGAATTTTAAAGCTTTAAAGATTTACGCTTGTTAGTGGATCTGACGTAGATCCCTAGATCCATTGATTATTAAATGAAAACTTTAGAAAAGTCGAAGAAAAATATAGTTATGAATATCTACATAGAAAGTATAATTTCATAAAAAGATCTTCAGCCTCGGGCTTGACACATAATATAAGAACTAAAACTTAAGCAAGCGTAACAGGCGTCCGGAATTTCGTGAATCAGAAAATGCTATTAAATAAACTCTGACCAAACATTATTTCAAAATAATTGAAATTTTAAAATTCCTCCATAATTAATATAATGAAATGGGCAATATTGTTTTCGTCTACCCGGGTGCCTATTTTATCCAAACTAGTCTCTTAGCTTTATAAAATTTCCATAGATATTTCTCTGTGCTATAAGCATTTCATAAGTCAGAGTTAGACGGATCGATCGAAAACAAAATCTGACCAATCTCCCCAATTACGAGCTTTACTATTCTCCTTCGATATACACATAAATTATTTATTATTCAAGAATATAAAAAATGGGAGTTCTTATATGCAACTGCCGTTGAGTGTACAATAAAATATCAACCCGATAATATTATAAATAGTTTGCCAGCTCTGGAAAGGCAACCGCTTATCAGTTTGATTCGCAATTTGTTACGCTCATTAAAAAATTATTCGCAACTTTTCATATTTAAAAAATGAGATTTAGTTGCGCTTTTGACTTAGCTTTACGCGGTCGCTCCAAGAATCAGAGTTAAATTTTGAAAGTTCTCCCAATTATGGCGTACAACGCACACAATTTGATACTTTTATTGGTCTTTCTGGTAGCTGTGGAAGCGCATGTATGTTTGCATATAATATATAAAAATCCAAGCTAATGGATTTATCAAAGATAAAAATTCCATTTGTAGTCAACAGTACAGCCGCAACAGTGGAGAGACGACAAATCGTATATGATTAACCAGACTCAAGCAATTCAGTCGCATACAGGAAACAAATCTACAACTCCGAGTTCCAGCGCAGATTCAACTGACAACGCGTTTAAATATGCAAACCACATCAGGTATTTGAGCTCACTTATACATCGATTTTCATACCATCTGGAGATGCAAAAGGATGCCATTAAACGGCAAGAGACGGCCATAATTAAACTTCAAGATGACAAAAGCGCTTTGGAAAGGAAGAGCGATCAAAATAAGCGCTATATAGATCAGCTGATCGCACAAACATCAGAGCTAAAATCGAAATTAAATGCCGAACAGTCCAGCATGGAACAGCTAAAGCTGTGCGCACCCAGGAACTGTTTGACCTTGGCCAAGCGCACACAACAAGTGGGAGCTAGTCATGTGCCAGGCAGTGGCTCAATTTCCCTTCCCAGTCAAGACGAACCACTAGCTGCCGGCATCTGGACTGTTGTACAGCGACGCGTAGACGGCAGCGTTAACTTTTATCGCAATTGGAGCGATTATCAAATCGGTTTTGGCAATAACCAAACGGAGTTCTTCATAGGCTTGGAGACCCTGCACCACTTGACAAGCGCCAAGGAGCATGAGCTGCATATCAGACTGACAGATTTTGCGAATGAAACCCGCTTTGCGCAGTATAATCAGTTTTTAGTGGGCAACGCTCAAGAACAATATCAACTGAAATCTCTGGGAAATTACTCAGGTAATGCGGGCAATGCTTTGATCTATAATCTGCACCAAAAGTTCAGCACCTACGATCGTGATAATGACTACGATGATGACAATTGCGCTGAGGACATGCACAGCGCCTGGTGGTATCGCGCTTGTGGTGCCAGGTGGGTACGAGTATTACGAAAAGAAAACTGTATCTTCAAAGTATTTCCTTTTAGTGACCTCAATGGAGTGTATGTGAAGCAAAATGTAACTGATTACCATGCGGATAAAGGCATACTTTGGGCTGGCTCAGACTGGCATGACTGGGAGTATTCTTTCAAATCTGTTACCATGATGATTAGACCGAAATAAGTAACCAGAAATTGAAGTTATATTTATTCAGATTAAGCTAACTGTTATTAGTTATCAGCTCAATAACATTAACTTCCTTTCAGATAGGTTGTAACCATAGTAACTGCTATCAAACATAATATTCCTTTTAAACTGTATAAGTTCCCAATACAATAAATATTATGGCTAATTCATTTCATGTCCACAATCTCTAGATATAGCAAATCGATCACGACGACTTTGACTTAACCACAGCAAAGGGAAGCAACTGTACCAAATATTAACATCAGAGCTTGCAGACGAAACCAGTTCATTTAGAACAGTTCCCGGCAATTTGCATGACTATAATAATATATATATTAGAAATTAGGCTACTACAAAAAGAAAAACAAAATTTTATTGAAAACAAAAGTCAACTTAATAAACTTACAAAAACTATAATGTTATGCTAGGTATAAACAAATACAAGTCTACAAATGAAAACAACAACATATAACTGAATGGATCTACTCGTGTCGATAGAGTACCCATTTTAGATGGTACAGCATTAACGAGTAGTTTGTTATGATTTGTTTATTTTTTTTTTATTATGTTTTGTATTTTGTTTGCTAGTTTTTTGCTTTTTATTGAAGTATGAGTTTGATTATACACACAATATGAATTAAATATAAATATTAAGTGAATACTTTGGATTTTGTTCTATGCTAAGCTTATGAATTAGGATGATCTGTGAAAATGTTATTTAATAATATAGGCTCTGCCTAAATATATAATAGTTTATATATAAATGTTTATCAATAATAGCATTTGTACATGATAGTTAAGCAAAATCTCTTTCATCATTTGCCAAACAATTTGGCAACGGATGGAAATTAATTTTATACAGTTGAGAGTTTACAAATTGGCAATTTATGAGGTTTTGCAAATACGTCAACATATAGTAATATGTATTTGCAAAAGCGCACAAATTGGCAAAGGATTTAAGCTTATTTTATAGGTTATAACACTGGTCGAATTAAGGACTTTAGTTACAGCCGCAAAAACAAAAACAAGCATAGGCCTGATTGTAAAATTTTAGGCTTATAATTGTTTGTTTTAGGGTCTGTTTAGAGAGAAAAAAAAGTCAATATAACTCTGCTTTTGGAAAAAAAATATGTGCATAAACAAATAAATGTGTATATGTAGAATTTTTGTAAAGCAGAGCGACATCAAGTTTTGCGTGGTAAATTTTACAAGCAACCACAAAGTTGCTGGTAAAATTTATCAATTTAGAATTTACAAATGTTTCGTTAGTAGCTTATAAATTTCATGGTTAAAGGTTGTATTCCAAATGTGGATTTCATTGAAGTTGTCTCTAGATAATTTGTTTTTGTTTTTCTTTTAACAATTAATTTTACGTTTTTTCGTGTGGTTGTTGTTGTTTTTTGTGTGTTGTTGTTGTTAAGAACTAATCACTTAGTTTATGGCATTTCTCACTAGAGAAATCTAAAAAGTTTCATATAGCTCGATACTTAAATGCTTAGTCGCTATTTTGTTCTAGTACTAGTACTGGTTGTAGTAACTGGCATTTAAACTAGTTAGACTATTAGTTAATATTCGCAACTTACGCCCTTGCACTGCACAAAAATGAGTACTTAATTTTTATAAAAAATGTAATGTGAAAGCTACTTAAAATGTTAGCCATTGAAGTGTGTAAAAAAATTACGTATTTTGTTTGCAGTGTTATAAAAAATTAAAATTAATATTACAAATACAAATTGCAAATTGAGTTTTCGCTTTCGTTTTTCTTTTTGGTGGAGAGTAGGTTGCAACTACTTTCGCTGGGATGTGGCGCACAGCAGCTGATTGAGTTTAGTTGTGACGCGTACGCTTCAGCTGGCAACCAAATAGAGCTGCACTCGAGCTGGAGCCGCCGTTGCTGCTGCTGCTGCCGGAGCTGGTGCGCATACGTTTGGCGGGTGAGATTTTTTTGGGCGCCTGGGCCAGACGCTTGCGCTCCTTCATGAACTCTGCAAAAAGAGAAAGAACCAGGAAACACGTGAGTAATTAATGAAATACAAATAAGTCTGTCTGTCTGTCCGGATTAAAGTCAGCTGGCATTCGAGCTACCCCCATTTGAGCATCAGTCATTGATATAATTGTCTAAGGGCATAATAACAGCAGGCGCCGCCTGTTTTTGCACATTTTGATTTTGAATTGTGGCACGTGGCTGGCCAGGGGTTGCTGTCGCACAGGGGTAGCAAATAGTGAATGAAAACGAGAGACGCTGCCTGCTGCTCAGGTAGTGAACGCTGCATGGATCTTGCATAGGCTGCATAAATTACACGCCCTGCCAACTGGGCAAGTTTCTAGGCTTGGCTGCACAAAAGTACAGCTAGTCCATCAAGGCTGCGCCACGGCCCATGCGGGCTGTCCAGCGCAGACACTTCGCTTCTCTACATTTTTTTTTATTATGCTAATAACTATGCCAAGTGGCAAGAGAAAAAAATGTATAATATAAAAGCAATCAGCGGCCGTTGATAAGTGCTGCGCTTTGATGGCGGCACATTGTGCGCTGCTGCTCCCCCTCTCTGTATCACTCCATCTCTCTCTCTTCATGTCGCTGTCTCTAATGAGGTCAACCGAAGGCGTTGAGGGCTGCCCAAAAGCAGAGCCATGCACATCTGTTAACATTTACAGCAACCCGCATGCAATGATCGCATTTGGAAATCAACCCCCGCGACGCAGGCGCAGAGACGCAGGGATGGATGTTGCGTGCATTGACTCTAAGCCAGCAGCAAGGGGAGGGGGAGCGCTAACAGTGCTGAATAAAAAAACAGCTGCAACGATCGGCCCTCTATAACGTAACCCCTTGACTAAATCACATAAAACAAAACTAATTATATGCCTAGCAGCATTTGGTAGAGCCTGTTATTATGGTTTTTCGAGAACAAGAAACAACGCCCACGCGGCAATTAAAGAAAAGACTGCGCCCATGGGAATCAATCTGGGTGCGTACTATAATAGGCCAGATTTAATGTGGGGTATGTAGTTCACAATTCCATTTTGTCGGAAAACAAAATACAGCCTATGCCTGGAATTCTTCTGAGAGCTCAGTTGATATTTAAGCATATAAATAACTTTCTGAATTAAGAACTATGCTAAAACATACAAAAACGAAAGTGACATATGTATGCTTATAAAAAACAATTGAAAAAAACTAAAAAAAAAAATATATAGGCATATTACAAATGTATAAAACATCAACTATATATAAAGTTTATGATAAAGAATTGGAAATATTGTGAGAAAAAATATCAACAAATTACAAATTTATTAATTTATATTTCCAAATATTGGGGTGGATTTATATTATTTCATATTTTGTTAAATTTTTCCCATTAGGAGTATTAGGTTTTTTAGAAGTACCTTTACAGAGCTTGAGGCTAGGGTTGGATTGGTGCCCACTAAACAGTTAAATAAGCGAAATTTGTGGGTTCTGGGAAATAAGTTTTGTAATGTTCGAAACGGTTGTTGTGCAATCAGGCATAACGCTGGGAAAGAACACGCCACGGAAACGGGAGGAGGTAAACAAAAAAGGGAGGCACGCAACTCACCTGTGATTTTGAGCTGTCGTTTGCGTTGCTGCGCGGGCGAGTTGCTGGTGGCGGAGGACGAGGAGGAGGCGGTCAAAGCGGCTGCCGACGTGGAGGCGACCACGTTGCTGCTGCTGCTGCTGGTGAAATGCAATGGCAGCGACTCATCCTGTGAGTCATACTCAGTGTCTGTGTTGGAGTCCATCGAAGAGTTGACCAAATTCTCACGATCGGCGCGCTCATTCAGCAGCGCATCCATGTCGCTGGCCGAGTCATAGGCATCGGGACGCACATGAGCAGCACGGGTGAGTGTGTACATTTGCGGCGCATAGTCTGATTCCTGTGTGCTGACTCGCTCCCAGATGTAGCTGGCATTTTTGGCCAGCGGGCGATCGCTACGAAAATCAAAGCCCCATTTCTTTGTGGCCAACTCTTGATGGCGTTCGAGCTCTGCGCTAAAGGAGCTGCAGGTGAGAAATGCACTTCTTAATATTTTGACAATTTTACCTTAAGCTAACATTATTTAATCATGATTGAATTTTTACTTACGGTTTGGTCTCCACCAGCGGCGTCTGCGCTGCACCGAAGAGATTTCGCTTAATGCGTTCCAATTGAGGGCCGCAGGGTGAATTGCGACTTACGGCGGGACTGAAGCTCATCTTGCAGAATTCACTGCGCACCACCGGACGGAGCACGCGTGCACTGACCATGTTTTTGTTGTAGTTTGGTTGGTTGTTTTATTTAAAATTTGTTTGTTTCGTTTCTATTTTTGTTTCCTGTGTTTTGGACTGCGATGCGACGCAGTTTTGCTGCCTACACTTTGGACACTTGTTTGCGAATTGCACGACTAAGCGAAATGTCAAAGTTTTGGCGCCAAAAGTGTTGGTTTTTTGCGCTCGCCTGTACGTAGTCGCTGCCCAGTGCTAAAGAGGGGCGAACTCACTAATACACGCTTATCCAAACATGCACACACACAAGCCACAAGTCTCCAAATCTCGTTTCAGTTGCGCCTGTGTATGCGTGTCTGAGCGTAAATGTTCGTTTGTGTTGGTGCGCTGAGGTGTGCGTGAGTGGGGCGCAGTGTTGTTGCAGTCTTTTTGTATTTTCTTATACACTCGCTTTAAAAGTGAAATTCGTATTTGTTGCTTTTGACGTGTATTTGTTTAGAAATATGATATAAACAAATTCGTTGTGTATTGTTTTTATGCACTTGCAAACGCCTTTATCGCTGTTCTTATTGGTCACGTAAAAAACCAACTCACTCAAATCACAAAAAACTGAGTCAAGCACTCACAAATCGAGACAATTGCGAAAGACGCGTTCGTTTTGTGTTTTCCACGTTGTGTTCAGTGTACTATTGCTTTTACAACTTAAGTTGTAAGATCTTTTATATTTTACAAATCGCGTTTTTTTTAATTTATGCTTTTTAGTGAATATTTTGTTAGTTTGCCTTGAAGTGCGCAATGCGAACGCACTTTTCGACTGAGCTCAACGAGCAGAATAACAAAACTGAACGTAAGCAAACGGGTAAAAATGATATTTATACGCGGATATCTTTGCGCTCAGAGAGCGGGCAAGTTACTCTCTTAGTGTCGCTCGCAGACAGTGCTGCACGCGTTCGGTTGCCATGCGATAACGAAAAAACGGCTAAGACAAGCTAAGCCTGCGCTGTTGTACTGGGCACGGCTAGAAACAGTGGGAAACGGCTGCATAATGCTAAACAAGGACGCGTATGTATATTACAGCTATTAGTTTCATAAAATCTGACTAATTTTTACTGTTTATATGATGTAGATTATAATATTAGTTTTGAATTTTGAATATTGAATATATAGAAAAATATTCAAAGGTAGCCACAAAAAAAAACTAAAGTTCTCGACTTAGCCAATTTTTAGCTAGATCTGTTGAAAATAAGAACAAACAGTCAACACTGCACTCAAATCAAGTTTTTCGTTCACTGAGTCGGAGAGCAACTGAGAGACAGTGAGAGTAAGAACAACCACAAAACAAAACGTCAAACAACCACCGCAGCGTTGCCATACAACGTACTGCAATGACGACACTACAGCAACCCTCGCGTTCAAAACGATCGAAGCAGTGCCTTGTTGTTCTCAAATGCTCTATTTAAAACTAGGCACATCGATTTGCCCATGCGGCCTGAAATATTAGATAATCTGCTGCATTTCGAATTTAACCAAACTTAATAAACAGCGCGCTAGCAACTGCTTAAACATTTTAATAGCTAGCAAAATATTAATTACTTCTGAATTTAAGTTATTGCATTGCTTACATGAAAAGTTGTATTTAAGGACATGCACTATTCGGCTTGCGGAAAAATCCAAGCGTCTCTGGCTTGTTGTTGCTGCGCGAGTTGGAGCTGTACTTTTGGTTTGAATGCGATGGGTAGATAAAAATGTTTTGGCTTCGGTTTGTTTAACCTGAAACTGGATTTTTGTTTTTGTATTTTTGCTGCCGAGTCTGAGAGTCAGACAAATTGGATTTAGGGCGGCAGCGCAGACGGTTTCCAACAGTTTCACTTTCCTATTGTAACTTGGGGCCATGAAATGAAAATGTGGGGCAACTATTTGAAAAGTGCATTAGAACATACGAAACAGGGTGTAAAGATAATTTACCGCTATATTCGTCACGCAGCCGTTACTAAGAGAGCATATTTCAAAAAATATACAAAAATTTCCCAAGCTTTGTTATTTAAGTGCAAAATCGTAAAAAATTAAATTACATTGCTAGGGCAATAAAAAACGATTTATATTGTTTGCACAAATGCAATTAAAGTGCACAAAAAGCGAGAAAAATAGTAGAAAAAGAAAAAGTCAACCCGGTTCGAAACTAAAGACATCATTTGCTTTGTACCTTTGCACTGCACACAAAAAGCGGAATAAAAAAACGTTTGGTTTTTCAAAAGTAAAAAAAGAAAAACTCACTGTAATTAAAACCCTGCCTCGAGTGCAATCACCCCAAAAAGGCAGCAAGGAAGCGATCTATCGATCGATTAGGCAGCCAAGATCGAGCCTTGACTCGCCTCCCTACCCCTACCAAGTGCTAAGCAGACACACCGCAGAGTTCTGTTTATGGGACACACCCTCCTAAAAACCGAAGAAAACACAAAAAAAGAAGAAATATATAGGAACGTAAATTTACACACTTTTTAACAAATTTGGAAAAATTCTGCCGGCGTTGAGTTGCGGCAGTCATGCCTGAAACATAAACAACTCAAGATCCTGTAGTAAAGGGGGCCGATGGATGGCGAGAGTTCGTGATCCTTTTAAGTAATTTCCTCAAGTTGACGATGTCTTTACAGGATGTACTGAAAATATATATGGGTTGCATTTTACTGTGTAAACACACGGAAAAAAGGCGTCGAATTGTGGAGGAAAATATAAAAGAGGTAGCACAACAATGGGGTGTACTTCAAGTGGTGCTTATAATCCTTTATAAGGGCAGCCCATTAAAGGATTGTCCAACATTGGAACGTGCGGGTATTAGATGCACATTTGTTTATATAACGAGAAATTGGCCTTTAATGCTGGTTGACTAACAGAATGTAATAGAAACTTAGTCTTATGTTCACAATATTTGATAATTAATTGCATTTAATCAATGACTCTTAGTCTTATAGAGCATGCCTCCATTTGCTGACTGATAAGCGCGTAAGACTGACTTTAATTGCTCTATGCCACGATAAGAGGCACAAACAATGCCCAAGTTGAAGGTCGCCATTGTCGGAATATTATTATCTCATTGGAAAACCTCAACGGACACTGCATAAAATATACGTTACACTCATTTCAAATGCAGCACGCCTTATCGCGCCGAGCGGAACATAAAATCAACAGACACCCCCTCCTTCCCTCCCCGGGGCAAGATAGAATACCACTAAAAACTTGACTTAGTATATGCCACGTGTTCCACGACGGCCTAGCGGGAGGCTTTCCATGCCCACCGTAGTGTTCAGGCAGCGTGACTGTCGAAGTAACGTTCCAAAATGCCATAAGATATATTTTTATATAGCGCTCTGTTCCGTAAGGAAATTGCCATAAAATTGTTTAGCTCACGAACTGTGACCGCAAGCTCAATTTCAACTGAGATACTCGGGGGCAGGTGCGCTATGGTTAAGGATATTTTTCACGTTTCAAGGGTTTGCCACGAAATTATTCGCATAATGCAGCGGAAGTGTTCCCGATAGGGCGTAATGAAGTCTAACAGTCTATGGGAAAATTGTTTTTATTTATAAGTGAACTGCAATTGAGGTGCTTTTTAAGGAGAGTTTTGTATAAAGAAACAGAAAATGGAATATTTTCGATTACTAGATCAATTATGTGCAACGGTGCATTAGATTAATTTAGTTTTTAGTTTTAGCCAAAGAAAATTTATAACAACGAGAGAGTTTTAAATCAGCTGCATAAATTTAGCTTTATAATTCCCAACTAGTGCATTTTGATTGAATAGTTTGATAGACATGTATATAATTGACAAATTTCGTTTAAGATTTAATTTTCAATAGAATATTTTAAACTTTTTAATTAAGACTTTTCCTTCTATATTTCGTGCACTATTATTTAATAAGAGACGAAGAAGTCATTGAGGTAACTCAGGCTCAGGTTTTCCTCGGCTCTCAGATAAGTATAATCTGTCAATGTTCAATCCTCCAAGCATTCTAACCATGCCTACATTTACCTTAATCACAGCACGCTCCCTGCTTATCTTCTTTTCTATAATTCCCAACTTGTGGGTTTTGCTTGAATTGTTTGATAGATTTGTATATAATTGATGAATTTCGTTTAATTTTTGATTTAGGACGGAATTTTCAATTAATTAATTTAAGGTATTTCATAAAGATGAAACTATTCCTTCTATATATCGAGCACTTTTAAATACTAAGAGACGAAGTCATTGAGGGAACTAAGACTCGGGCTCTCGGCTCCCTGACTGGTATAATTTGTCAATATTCAATTCTCTAACGATCCCCAAGCACACCTAAGCATATGAGGAATTCTCTAAGATTTACATTTATCTAAGTCTCAGCACGCTCCCTGCATATCAAGTTCTTCTTCTTGTTTGAATTGTGTGATTTCTTTCAACTCGGAATATCTTTCGTATGATCGCTGAGATTTCTACTTACTGAACCCTCGGTAAATGACCAATCATTAATATGAAAAACAATTCACAGTCTCAGGACATTTACAAATGACTTGTGGCTTATCTTGGGGTTTTTCACCTTCGGACAAATTGCTGCGGTCAGTGCCAGAGTTTTGTTTGACAGTTGAGATCAGCTTTAATAAATGGCTAGATGAGCCATATTGATGGGGTTTCAAATGCAACGCAAATACGTAAAAAAGAGGCTAAATATGGATATGCAAATATTTAAACTGGCTACCGTTGCAGAGAAAATCCTTTTGGCTACTGTGCTACTTGCCGGAGTGCAATAACAATCATCATCAATCAAGGGCCGCACACTTGTGCCAGAGAGATAACCAGACTTCAGGGCCAGGCCGAAATGACAACTCATTTCATTTTATTGGAACAATCTACTAGATAAACACACACAAAGAGCGAGCGAAAGAGAAAGAGAGAAAGGGCGAGGTTATCGGACTGGGAACGTCCTACTTGCTGGCGTGTTTTCCTGGTAAACGCGTGGAAAAAACGCAGCATGATTGCAGCAGGAGCAGCAGCAGCAGCAGGGGGTGCGTGGAAAACTAGTTTTATCAGCGCTCTCCCAAAAAAAAAAATGAGAAAATAAAATTATAAATATTTATGGAAATGCATTTGCAGCAAAAACAAACAAACGAAGTCAAGCGACAAAATCTTGTAAGGTAACATAGGTCAGCATTTTGGTGTTTGCCCCAAAACTTCAGACTGTATCTGTATCTATGCTCCTTTGTATCTTTGTATCTTTGGCCTGTCTGTTTGCCTAGTCTATCAGCTGCATTAGCTGAAGACAGACTCTCGCCATGCACCTACCCCAACGTAAAAGACAAAAACAACAACAGAAACAACTCTGTACTTCTTTGGATGCATAATAAAACGATTTCAATGCCCCAGAGGCAACGTTTTCTCGACTGCCACGACTGTATAAATAATAATAAAATGCATTTATGACTCTGATTTGGTGAGAAACGGCATTAAAAACACACGTTGGAGCATTGAGAAGACGTCTTGGGTTTCCCAAAATCCTTTCAGGAAACCTTTTACTCAGCTCTAAATGCGCAACAAAAACAGGTTGAGCGCAGACGATGAAGAAAAAATTAAGAAACGGGCGAGGCTCTCGTAGAAGCGACTGCTCGACTCTAAGATATCCAGTTTTCAGAACTTATGTATGCCGAGTCTCAAGTAACTTTTGTGTTTTATTTACGATTTGTTCGAAATTTTGGGGAACTTAAAGATAATTAGCTGAAACACACGTATACCAAAAATTAAAGCGATATCTGTAAAAGTCCTCCGGTAATATGAATTTGTGATATTTCGGAAG